CATGGCCCAAAACCAAGAGAGCTGGGGCCCAGGGCTGAGCAAGTTTTCTCTGAAGGAAACAAAGGCTTTGGCAAGGGCCTCTGGTTGTTACTCCAGGAGGCAGAAGGACCTCCAGGAAAGGAACCATCTGCAGACCAGAATTAAAGTGAGAATATTTTCTGCATTTTGGAATATTCACCTCAAGGTGGTGCAAAGCCAGGGCTGTCCACCCCCTTCTCTGCAACACAGTACTGCTGAGCCAGTGTTCTCAGACTCAGGTCACCTACCTGGTTTTTGCCTGAGTTTCAACAACTTTTGATTGAAAAGACCTCCTGAGAAAGTGGAGAGACCTGGGCAGCCACAATGTCTGTCTCCAAGCACTAAGACCTACAAACCCCCAGTGCTGTGAGCCAGTAAACTGACACTTATCAAAAGAAGCTTTGTGACAGTTTATTAACCAGATGAGGTGCAGCCCCCAAGCCTGATACACAAATTTGTGTTTGGTATTGTGTTCCTGTCAGATTTGTCAAACGTAGAAGTTATTTATGGTGCATAGGGAACAAACAATTTTTAAATGATAATAAGAAGATACCTCAAGCCATATACAAAGAAAACTCCATTTAGAATGATGAAGGAGCATAGAAGCCCCCTTCAGCCTTGTGTTCCCGTGGACCCCCATGTCCCACGGATGTGCCCTGAGCTCCCTGACCTCCCCCTGAACAAGTCACAAAGTGAAAGGGAAATAATAATTTATTTTATTAGCAGCAGAAGTCAGAGGCAACATTGTACACAAAAAGTACCTTCCTTTTGTTTTAATAAAATGCCCTGTGTATTCTATTTATAAAGTGAGGGAGTATATAGGTCCTAAAAACCCAAAACACTTCTCTGCAGGGACACTGAGCCAGAAACATCAGCCACAGATCACAGTGAGATGCTGTATCATCCCAAAACTCCCCATAAGAGCAAGGAAAAGGACTCTGAATAAACAGTGAATAACAGGAATTAAAGCTGGCTGTAGAGAAACTTCAAATCTTTTCTGGTGGCACAGTGCAGGTCTTCAGAAGTGACTCTCTCCTCCAGCCACTGCCATCAGCAGACAGACATTGAGCCCTTGTGAACAAGAAACACTTTGCAGGAGCAGACACAGGAGGTGGCAAGGGCAGAGCACAGAGCACAAGATCTGACACGAGCCTTCAATCCCTAAATTTCTCTCTCAATAATCATCTCTCTTTCCAGAAAGTGCTTTCAGGGGAGCCTGAAAAAGAAAATAATTTTACTTCCAGGTCATCTTTGCTGGCCTGAGACTGTTCTGTTGCCACAGAGAAACAGAAAAAAGGATTTTTTTCTGCCTTGCAAACTATGAGAAAAACTAGATAAACCTCAGAACCTCTCTGGTCCTCAGTAAAGCCAAATGTGCTAGAATTAATTTTTTTACTGCTACAAGCAGCTTTGTCTAGGCCTGAGCTTGAGACAAAGACTTTGAACTATTACAGTAAAATCAGTTGATTGCCTCACTCTTGAGCTTTGTGTGTACAGGATGCAAAGACAAAAGTGAATCGAGCTACACAGATTTGATCACAAGAGGAAACAAGCAGACAGACAGAGCTGATCATCTCCGGGTTGCCTTCATCATGACTTTGTTCCAGCAGCTGCTCCCAGGATCACAGGAATGTCATGACTGTCCTGTTCTTGCCAATCTGCCAGGGCTCCAGTGGGTAAAAGCGGATGACAATCCTTTTGGGTAGAAGAGCAAAAATGTGGACAAGAAACATTACTTTACAATTAAACACTATTGCTGCCCAGTTTGCAACACAGTAGAAAATCTGCACTAGGGTCTCACTGTCTTACACTTCGGGGTGTTCATTTAACAGAAAGAAATATAAGCTGTGTATGGGTCAGGGTAAAAACAGACTTCACCCACACAAACAAAAGCAATCTGTATTTCAATGCTTTAAATGAGATACTTGTCCATTTTAGAAGGAGCCACATAGTGCATAATCTTGCCAGGGATTTATCCTGACAGCACCCAAGAGGCAGGGAAGTATTATTACCAGTCTCCTTTGGGGAGATGGGTAGGACAAGCAGAGATGGGCATGGCTGACCTTCAGGAACAGCCTTGTTGCAGAGTGACACCCCGGCAGGGGGAAGCTCTACCAACTCCAGTGGGGTTTCACAGTTTCACCAACTCTAACTACTGATCTTCAGAGAACAGTAATGCCCAGACTGTTCAACAAGTGCATACCAGTGTATGGTTTTATCTGGCTCCAAACCACATGTCTGGGATTCAGCATCCTCGAGCACTTAGTGTTTGCAGTCTCGTTTGGCTCTGTATTACAGCTTAGTCTCCTGGCGGACACGGGAAGTGCCACTATCTGCACTGCTCTGAACGTCCCCTTGGCAGCTGTTTGTCGCGTTCCACGAGCACACAGACCTGCAGGCCGGACGGGAGGACGCTCCCGCTGCCCTTGGGCAGAGCAGGGTGCCCGGGCTGAGGCGCGGCCAGGCCGCACTCACCGATCGGGGCCGAGGCCCAGCTGCGCCGTCAGGACGTCGAAGAAGCGGGCGCTGTGCCCCTTGTTCTGCTCCGCCGTGCCCACCACGCCGATGGACGAGACCGCCAGCTGCGCGCAGGGCTCGGCCGAGCCCGACAGCACCATGGGCAGCCCGCTGCGCACCGTCACGTTCACCCGCTGCGGGACAGCCGCGGTTAGCCACGTTAGCCACGTTAGCCCCGCCGCCCTGCCCCTGCCCCTGCCCCAGCCCCGCCGGCCCGGCCCCGCTCACCTCCGCCGGCTTGCCCAGGATGTCGGCGGCCGCGGCGCACAGCGTCTGGGCCAGCCCCGGCGGCAGCCGCTCGGCCGGCAGGCTGGTGTCCAGCTCCACGAACGGCATGGCTGCTGCCCCGCGGCCCGCACCGCCTCTGCCCGAACCCCGGAGCCCCGGCCCGCCCCGCCTCTGCCCGGAGCCCGGCCCGCCCTGCACCGCCCCGGCAGCGCAGCCCGGCGGGCGGGCTCAGCCCCGGGACCGCCCCTTCTAAACCGTACAACTCATTTAAAGTTGAAATACAGACTGCTTTTGTTTGTGTGGGTGAAGTCTGTTTATACCCTGACCCATACACAGCTTATGTTTCTTTCTGTTAAATGAACATCCCGAAGTGTAAGACAGTGAGACCCTAGCGCAGATTTTCTACTGTGTTGCAAACTGGGCAGCAATAGTGTTTAATTGTAAAGTAACGTTTCCTGTCCACATTTTTGCTCTTCTACCCAAAAGGATTGTCATCCGCTTTTACCCACTGGAGCCCTGGCAGATTGGCAAGAACAGGACAGTCATGACATTCCTGTGATCCTTGGAGCAGCTGCTGGAACAAAGTCATGATGAAGGCAACCCGGAGATGATCAGCTCTGTCTGCCTGCTTGTTTCCTCTTGTGATCAAATCTGTGTAGCGTGCCGGCCCCGGCGGTCACTCCGGCCCAGCCCAGCTGGCTGCCTGCCTTTGGGACTCTCCGTGGGCATTGCTGGGGCGTGCATTGGATGCTGTGTGACCAAATGTAGCCACATTTCACAGAGAAAAGCAAGGCACAACTTTGCGAGAATATTTCTGGGATTCACATTCTCTGAGCCTCAGAGAAAGGAAAAACAATTCTTATCTCATTTGCTGTGCCTGTGTTGTGCCAAAGTAGAATGCAGTGTGGAGATTGTTCACCCAAAGTGATGGTGTTTGTTTCCTTGGCCTGTCAGGGCCAAGCGTGTGTGTGTGTCAGGACAGTCGGCTGACAGTCATGAGTGCAGTGAGTGTTTGGCAGATTCAGTTTAGATGGCTTGTAATATAGTGTAATATAGAATAGAATAATATAGTATAATAAAGTAATAAATTAGCCTTCTGATATAATGGAGTCAGATGGCTCCTTTCTCCCTGAGCATCAGGGTTGCCTTGCTTAACTATAACCAAAGCCATCACATCTCACTAACGGATGGGTAGAATGAGTTTTGTGACAGCCCTTACTGCCAGTGGAAAAACATTTCAGGTCACTACAAAGACACCCCTGTGCAGGGAGGGCTGAGAATGGAAGTGCAGTAATTTCTTTTAACAACCAACACTATAAGAAATTAAAAAGCAAGCAGAGAGGTTTACTGCTTTATCCAACGTGTATTAATTACAAGGCCTTTGAGCAATCAGGACTTTGAACTCTCAGGCTGGTAAGTGACCTCGGCACGCTGGCTCACAGGGACAGTCTAATCTACAGATCACAGGTGTCCAAACTGGAGATCAGAGGCTTCTCAGAAGCTGAGCTACTGTCCAGTGAGGTGCCATGAGCTCGTTTACAACAAAGGGTTATGAACCAGCTGTACTAAAAGGTCATCATTTAAGGCACAAAACTGTTGGGAAAATTTGCCTTGTGTAATTGACATCTTGGTTTTCTACAATTCTAGACAACGCTAATGAAAACTGATGAAACTGCTAATTTTTTTTTTCTTTTTTGCTTAGGGAATTGCTTGGCCTTCACTGCTGCTAGTGAAGACAATACTGGCACAAAGAGTTATGTGCAGAAATCAGCCAGGAAGAAGGCTGGGCAAAGATTTTTAGGACAGAGTAGTATCTAGAACTGAAACCTTGGTAAAAAACACCATGAGAAAACAACAGGTTTTTTTAGAACTTGCCAGCAAAAAAATGTCACTAGCCAAGACATGGTAGCACTAGAGGAAAAAAACCCAAACAATTATTTGGTTAGTGAAAGAGGCAATTCCTGAATTCCATTACTCATTTGGTTTTAGTCTTTACAGGAAGCATTTTTTGGCAATGATTTTAGGGTAAGGGCAACCACTACTTCTGAATGGAAATATACAGATATATATTCCACCAATTTCTGCATCCTTTACAATTTGTTATTTTCAACTAAAGAAACTGGAAATGGTTGGATTTGCTCAGTTTTATCTCATAAATTGTGCTGCAATACAAAAGGATTTTGCATTTGAACTATAACTGAGCAGAAACAAACAGCCAAGAAAAAGAGCCCAAAAGCTCCAAAACAACTCTTTGCCCTTTTATTGTGATGCATGTGTTGCTCAATGCCACAAAATCTCTTATTACTTCAGCTGCACTGGGTGACTTACTTGGTGAACTTCCATCCAAAACAGTCTCAGAAGAGCATGTCTGCATTTATTCGCTCTCTGCATTTCCTAGGAGAAATGTGCTATTACAGTATTACCATAGAAAAAATCCAATTTGTGTACTGTTATGTTCTCTTTCACAAAAACACTGTGAATGCATTCTTTCAGGGTACTCCCTATATAATATCAACTTGGGTTTTTAGGTATGGAATAACTGCTGGTGGCCACCAGCAGCATGAATCTGCAAGAACAGCTGCTGCCACACATGTACTGGTAGACAGAACACCAACAGAAGCCAGGCTTTCAGAAATCCAAAGAAGCAGTTGAAGTGAAGAATTACAAAGATTCATCGTTGTAGAAATACAAAGAAATTTCTCAAAGGAACTTCAAGGGAAAAGGAAGTGTGGAATGTACATGGACAGTCAAGCAAGATGCCTCAACAATAAGAAACCTTTAAATTTTTTTTTTTTCACTTTTGTGAAGTACCTTTGTGCTCTACTTGTCTGTGCAGACACATGCTGGGAAGATGAGGATCAGACACACTTTGCAGTACAAATGTTAAAATAGGAAACAGTGATCCTTATCCTATTCAGTTCTTTAACATTCCCAATTTGTAGGCTGGCTTGAATTGTCAGGAAATACCATTCTTGTCTCTATCATCTCTGAGAAGACTGACACTGAAATAAAATCCAGATGCATGTTAAGTGACCTGTAGGGCCTCAGCCTTCTGTATAAATTTAATGTTTTAGGTCTTAAACATTCCCCAGCTTCCACCCCCAAAGATACAAGAAAGACCTGGGCCACTCTGCAATTTCTGTGTTAGAATTACAGTGCTCTTTCCAGTTACATGGAGAACTGGATGTCAGAGAAGTTAAAAAGAAAAAAAAGGCAGGAAAAATGCTAAGATAGGTTAATTCATTTCAACATCTTCATCAACACAGGTGCCAGTTGCTCTTTCAGCTGTGGATCAATTTGAATATTGCTCAGTTCTTTGATATTGAGGATCATCTCATGGGCTTGGAAAAAAAGCTCTTTCCCCACAGCATCCTCCACCCGCCTGCGCCACTCCCTCAGCCTGGGTCTGTCTTCAAAGATGTCACAACCAACTCCAACAGGCTGCAGAAAGGAGAGAGCAACAGTGAGGCTTGGGGCAGTCACTTCTCTGCTGAGACAACAGGCACTAAAAGGATACTTGCAGGTAAAGGGGGAAAAAAGGAAGAGCTCATGGAGCAGCAGTAGGAAGGAGGGAAATCTCTGGTTGGTGTACCTGTCTGGGGAGCACAAAAACTAACCTGTATTTTAAAGGGCATCAGTTCCTGGGTGCTGGAATAGCTGTTTAGGGCAGCACAGGTGACCCCATTCTGTGAGTGATTTTCAGCCACAGCACTGAAGATGTGGTGGGATGGCAGTTCCAGGGATCACTGCCCAGTTTTGCAGTAGAGAGTGTTGGATTATACAGCAACACCCAGCACAATATGTGAAGTGTTTAACTGAACCAGTGCCTAACTAATATTATCTACCCCCCTTCTGCTTTCTGCCTGTGCCTCTCTCTGGAACACAGTGTACAGAAGCAGAAGTGCTGGTTTTCAGTCTGGACACTGAACTGGGAAAAGGAAATCACTGCTGGGCTGCAGGATCCAGGCCCTAGTGGCCTGGCAGGGAAAAATCAGTTTGTAACAAACTTAATTTGATTGCCTCTGAGATTAATTATTTCATCTTCCAGACATGGCACGGGCAAGTATTATATTCTTCAATGATAGAAATATTCCTATATGGTTGTCTTATTTCATCAGACCTGTCTGCTATTGCTTCTCATTTATATACATTACCTCCTTCTTAGGTTAAAAAGAAAGTAATGATAAAGAATGAAGAAAAGGTTATTGCTACAGATGAGAAACAAAAGAGATCTGTTGCAGCCAGCTTTTTTTTTGATTTTCATTGCTGTTCTGAACCCACTCCCACATTCTCCCCATTGTCTTAGGCCAGTTCTGCCAAAATATGCCTTCACTTCTCCTGCTAGTGAAGAGTTACCACGTGCTGCCCCCTCCCTGCTCTGCAGCATCTGTTTTCCCTTGTGCTTCTTCACCATGCTCCAGGCACTCACTTGCATCAGTTCCACAATGGCCACAAGATCTGCCAGGGAGATCTCACTCCCAATGATAAAAGCCTTGTCCTGCAGAAACCTCTCCTCAAATTGCTTCAGGGAAGTGGACAGCCCCTCCATAACCTCCTGGAGCTTCTCCGAGGGCAGTGGCTGCCCTGTGAAGAGGGGAATCAACACCTGAGGAGAGAAGGGACATAACAGCACACATGACCATCTTCTCTGGTAGCAGTCATTGAAGTCACACCCCATGACCATCAGTGCCCTGCAATAAAGCCACAGGAGGGGGTGGCAGAGCTTCACGGGCTGTGGCAGCTCCACAGAGCTCCTGGACAGAGAGCACACCAGCAGTCCTAAGTGTGACCTGCCACAGCAGTGACCTCCAGCTTATCAGCAGCAATGTGAGGAACAAAATCAAGGATCCTCACCTCACTTTGTTCCTGGCAGCTGTGCCTGCCCACTCCACCCCGTTGGGCTACAAAAGAAAAATGGGCAACAGCTCCAGGGAAGACACAGCTCTGCCACAGTCACCCCTGCTACATGCTCTGTGCCACCAGCAGCTGCCCAGGAGCCATCCACCCTGCTGTGGAACTGGGTGCTGCAGGCAGCTGCCTGTCCTGCAGGGTGATGGAGAGGAGGGAATGCCAGTGCCTGTGGCAGGAGCATTGGAAGGACTAGAATTCATCAACACTGGCTGGAGAGACAGAAATGGCTTCCTCTGTGTGACAGCAGCCAGCAAGGCTGGAAGTGGTCAACACCATTTTTACACAAACCTTTCAGTGGCTTAAAGCATCACTCTTTAAACCACTAGAAATTTTTCTGGAGCAATCACAGAAATGCAGTCCTTGTGTCTGCACAGACCTGCTGGCACAGGGGGTCCAGTAGAAACAGACAATGCCCCAGCCAGGGAATAATGTGCTCTGACTCCATGATTTGGAAGGCTGAACAATTGCTTTATTAAGCTATACTATATTACACTAATACTATACTAAATTACATACTAGAGAGATACTATACTCAAAAGATATAAAGAATATAAAGATACTATACTACAAAGATACTAAAGAAAAACCCATGACTGTCTGGAGACAGTCAGGACACAGCTTTGACTCAACTGGCCAATCAATCAAACAACCCTCACAGTGTCCAATTAACAAATCACTCTGGGTAAACAATCTCCATAACACATTCCACGTGTGCCAAACAACAGGCACAGCAAATAGAGATAAGAATTATTTTCTCTTCTCTGAGCTTCTCACTGCCTTCTCCAGGAAAAATCCTGGGAGACAGAATTATGTGTCTCTCTATTCAGAGAATGTGAATACCACATAGGGGATTGTTGCCTTTCCAGAGTATTTTTCACCAGTCACAGAGGTGTTTGCATCACTGGAGCCCCCAGTATTTCACAGCTGTGCTGCCTTCACCTTCCACAGCTAAAGAAGTGCAGTTTGTTTAGAGAATCAAAATTATAAACACAAATTTCAATCGGTGCAAGTGAACTGAATTTCTACTTACTGCTAGTATGTTCAGCAATTCAGCTTGGGATTGCTTAATCCAAGCCAGGATTTTGGCCAAATACATGTGGAATCCATTTCATCAGAAAATTTGTGGCCAGTTCTCTTCCTAAGTGGTTCTAATTATGCATGATAGGATCTTTGGGTAAAATCACTTGAAACAGCATCTTCTTCCTTCTCCTTATCTCAGGGCTGTCTATCTTCTCCCATCTCTAGTTAATATGCTTCTTTTACATGGTGGCTTTATATGTTTCCATATTTACAGTTATTCTGAGGACCTTTTCTGCATCTGGGCTATTACACCATCAGCAGCAATTAGTTGGATTTCTTTCCCTTGGAGCACTGCAGTGACAGCCTGCAGAGGCTGGAAGAAACTGCTTCTGGTATGAATCTGCCTCATATTTGAATTGATTCTCTGTACTCTATAGCCCAAAAATCAAATACCAATAAATTCAAGAAGATAAATGAGTCCTGATATGCTTTGTTAGGCACAAGCAATGGCAACTTTACAAGAGAGGAGTGAAGTTACCTGTTTACTAGCAATCCTGATTTCATCTGAAATTCCATACCAGCTGTCCTCACAGATTTATACTTGCACCTAGGTCTCTCTAGGGATGGTTGCATTAACTGTCTGGTGAGTCAGCTGTAAATAGGTGTCCAGAAAAATCATCTGATACTAAATGATTTTCTGGCTCAGGATGAATCAGGTAAATTGGCCTGACTACACTGAGTAAAGAAAATCTGCCTCTCAGTGTCTCTCTGCTCTCTGTCCCTGAGCCTATTTCAGAGAATCACATAAGTGTGCTGGAAACAGAAGACTCCCTCTGGATTTCCACCCTTAGGAGGTTGCAGAACTTGTGTGAAGAATGCAAGTCTTTCTGCTTCCAGCAACAAAACACATGTTCACCCAAGCCAAACTGTGCCTGTGTGCACACTCTGCACAGCTGTGCAGGGAGGGGAGGCCCTTGGAAGCAATAAGTCTGTTACATATTCGCTCACAAATCCAGGCAATGAAAGTCTGTTGGGTTTGAGACCTTCTGTACCAGACCTTCTTTAAGGGAAAAAACAAAATGTCCAAATCTGCTTTTGCCAGGTCCTGATGTCGATCAGTTTGGAACAGCTCACTCCCCAACATCTCCTTTTATTGCCAGCTGGGGGCTGTGTACAAATCACGAGCAGGATGGGACTGCTGAGGAATGCTTCTTGAGCTATTTTATTTTCCAGCATCAGCCTCATTACATGGTTATGACAATGGGAAGACGCCAGCAGGTCACATCCCAGGCAGCAGACCAAGAACTTAATGTTACAATTTACTTTAAAAGTTTTTTGACCAATCACATGAAGCAAAAGCATATTGACAGCAGTTCTATCCAACCACTACGAGCTATTTTATTTTCCAGCATCAGCCTCATTACATGGTTATGACAATGGGAAGATGCCAGCAGCTCACATCCCAGGCAGCAGACCAAGAACTTAATGTTACAATTTACTTTAAAAGTTTTTTGACCAATCACACAAAGCAAAAGCATACTGACAGCAGTTCTATCCAACCACTATAAACACCCATACCTTCGGTTAAACAATGCTTGCTTGTTTAGAATACAATACCTGTTTGTAAGCCTTAAAACACAATGCACAGAGCTCCATTATTAAGCGTAGAGTTTCCTAATATCTTGCTAGATAGATTTTTCTGCAGCTTAGGGAGTTATTCTAGCCAAGCATTAATACACAGACCATTTTTCTATTTGTCCTTACTTTCTACTTCTTACATAATTTTTCTGCTGACTATCTGACATATCTGACTAAGCTACTGCTTAGCTCCAATCACACTTCTGCTATCTCTGAAGCCTACCTTTTGCAGCTTTCCCAAAACCCTCTGATTTTATAGATTCTCACAATTTTCAGCTAGGAACAGCCCAGGTTTTGTTTCATCACAACAGTCTCGCTGAACTGGGGCTGTTAAGACGCTCAGTACTCTCCCAGGACAACATCACTGAAGTTTTTACACTCAGTCTCCTTACCTTGATCCACATGGTCTTGGGAGCGTTGGCCCGGATGTTGGCGTGGTGCCAGGACAGGTACTCATCCACACGGGCCCGCTGCTGGATGTCTGAGGGGTACCAGTGGTCAGGAGTGTTGTACTTGCGGCTCAGGTACAGCAGGATGGCAGTGCTGCCCACGCCCCAGCAGAGACAAGAAAGGGTCAGGCAGAACGCTCTTGTCTAAGCTCCCTCTCCTGCTCCTTCTCAACCTACTGCTTCCACTAAAAACTCTGAACTGGGGCTGTTAAGACGCTCAGTACTCTCCCAGGACAACATCACTGAAGTTTTTACACTCAGTCTCCTTACCTTGATCCACATGGTCTTGGGAGCGTTGGCCCGGATGTTGGCGTGGTGCCAGGACAGGTACTCATCCACACGGGCCCGCTGCTGGATGTCTGAGGGGTACCAGTGGTCAGGAGTGTTGTACTTGCGGCTCAGGTACAGCAGGATGGCAGTGCTGCCCACGCCCCAGCAGAGACAAGAAAGGGTCAGGCAGAACGCTCTTGTCTAAGATCCCTCTCTGCTCCTTCTCAGCCTACTGCTTCCACTAAAAGACATTCAGATCAGGATTTCCAGTGGAGTCTAGGGACCGTATAAAGGCATCTAATTCACGTTGACATCAATCAATTCAATCATCTCATTCAATGTTGGCATCAGTGGCCCTGAATCACCTCAGCTTCCATGAAAACTTTAACCTGGAAAATCACAGCACTGTTTTATAGTGCTGCTGGACAGTACTGGGGGTAAATACACTGGGGTAAACAAACAATAAACCTCCATGATCATCTGTCAGTGATGGTGACTCCACTTGCTCCTTGCCTATTCTGACCCACCTCTCTGAGACCTGCACTATTTCTGTGCCTGTGTATGAAATGAAACTCCCTGATGGGTTATTGCTGCCTTTTCACAGGTCTGTCTCCAGCATGCAGCTTCCACTGAAGTCAGAGGAAGTCTCAGCAAGGAAACCCTACAGAATCTTTTTGTGTTTTGTGTCTGGATGTTCATACTTTCACTAACTGGCAGAAGTCAGATGGAAAAATATCTTAAGTCATCTGCAACAATACTTAGGTTATTACTACCAAAAAAAAGCCACAGAAAATGTGCTGACAAAATGGAAGAAAATGCAGACACCCCTGCCATGCTGATACTGCTATAGGTCAATTGTTTCAGCATTATGACATCATTAACCAGTCTCCATAATAATCTTTTGATGTAAAGCCTAAATTTTATCTGTGCAGATGTTCTCTCAGCCTTTATGACTAATTCATATAAACAGAATTCTTTCCTAGAGTAAAAGGGATTTCTTTTCCTAGGGTGAAAGGGATTTTTGTAAGCTTTAAACATCTCCCAGAAGTGTTTATAATCCCATTTTGAGGTAAGTGCATTCAGGGTGAGATGAAGAAGCTAAGTCAGCTGAGTTGTTTACATTCTGAAAGATAATTCAAACGGAAAGTGGAAAGAGATCAAATGAGGTTATACTATTAAAAATAACCAGCATGATCATATATTCTGTGATCCTTAATTATCCCATGGGAATGACATCTTCTGAATGCAGCACAGACTGCTGGTACCCAAGGAAGTCTCAGGACTGAGTTCTTACCATTCTGCAAGGGTGAAGTCTCCATCCTTCAGTGCTGGTACTTTCTTCAAGAGGCTGACTTTGCTTGCACCTTCACTGTTTGATGGCCCTAAGAACATGAACAGACAAGTCTGAGGTTAGAAGTGTATCTGCCAATGCATTATAAATGAAATACCTGCAGCCAGCTGGATGATCAGTGAATTGTGTGAGGTTTTCCCAGTAGGGTCACAGCTCACAAGTGAAAGGCAGTGAAATGGCAGAGTCAGCATAAGAGCTGTCTGCAGAGGCAGCAGGCTCAGGCTGGCCATGTGGCATGGAGCAGTTTATATTCTGATTTTTCTAACAGGGTTCTCTTGCCTGACTCAGGTACCAGGATACTTGCAGAACTTACTGACAGAGTTGGCTAGGGGCAGGGAAGCTCAGACACCTCAACCCTCCCCTGCTCCTGACTCTGTGTTACTCCTGGCTCTGCACATCAACCTACTTCTAACAGGAAAACACAGGAGGAAGACACCATTCTGTGAGAATTTAAACTCCACAGTCCCCTGGAGGAATTAACAGCTGACTATCTAATCAGGCTTTCAGTTTCCCACTGCTGGCACCAGACCTGCCAGTCTGCAGTTAAATGCCAGGGAATTGCACAACAGCCCAGGAACACCTGAGTGAGAAAAGCTGTGAGGAATTTGTTTGCTTTGCTTGTTTTAAGTTCTCCTGAGGAGACATGACAATTAAAGTGCTAATCCTGATCAAATCAGCATGACCAGCAGGAGGGCTTGTACAAAACTCCCTTTGTTCAAAAAAAAGACAAGAAAAAGGATCATTAACTTACAGTGACCTCCATCTCTAAGAACTATTTGTACCCATTGAGGAAGCAGTGTCAGTGTCTACATTGCTGGACAAATGTGCAGTAGAAAATAGTCTCTGGGAAATAAAACCAGCCTCTGGACAGACAAGTTTATTTGCAGCTGGTTTGGGAAGGGTGGGAGAAGGCAGGTTGCTGCATTACAATTACAGACTGTGTTCCCTTATATCTATTTCACATAATGAGTTAAATCAAGCAGAGGATACACTACCACTTGTTCTCCTTTCCAGCTGACTAGCTTCTACCTTGTTTCTTCTTTGAGAAGTGTTTTTTGTTTTTTTTATTCCAGTGTAAGTAGCTTCATCAGAGACTAAGGTTTACACTCATCTGCTATTTGAAGGCATTCAAATCCACATTTTCCCTTTCATTAGGAAAAGTCTCTGGCTGCCTGCTGTGGATATGGCTTCTGCACAGCAGAACCAAGCAACACTGTCAAGAGTGGTAGGAAACGCTAGGCAGGGCTTCTTGAAAACAATAGTCTGACAGAAAGTGCAAGTTAAGCCTAATAACTGAGAAAATTTACTACAAAAATAAAAATGTCCAGAAGTGGGCAAAGTACAGGATGTCTCATCCCCATGATTTGTATCACAGAAACAGCGAGGCAAATATTTGTAAATCTACTCTTACGCAAGGAGTTGCTCAGGGAAGGTGCTTTGTTTTGTGCTTTTAGAATGGCCCCAAAGGCCAGTGGTCACCACACACCCAGCTCTGGTGAGATCTCTAGTGTTCACCTGGTCTTTGGAAAAATGCAGTAGAAAGTTGCCAGTCAGCAATGCTTGCAGCTAATGAGCAGTCCCTCGTCAGACCCAGCTGTTTGGTTGTGCTGCTGTCTGTGTTTATTATCCAGGGCAGCAGGGAACTAAGAAACAAGGACATGAGAAGTAAGCAATGGGTGAGGGCAGCCTGAATGAGATTTCAGAGAGCTTTCATCATACAGCAATTCTAGCAGGAATACTGAGCATATTTGTTCCCTGACGGAGCTACCTTGTCATTAGAGCAGGCTGGACAGTAGGTCAGTGTCTGTGACACAGCCTGGGGATGGAATCAGTTACTTTGGTTTGTAGATAGACATAAAAGACCAGTTCTGAGAACTCTGACTGAGCTGTGAACTGGTACATACATTGGTATGAACACTAACTCCAGGCTGCTTCATTGGGACCCACTGCTTATTGTATGAAAATAGAGACCAACATTTGTTTTTAGCAGAATTTAAGCTTGTGCCTCTCTTCCAGCCAGCAGAGCCAGCCTTTTTTGTGTGGTGGTATTGGGGGTCCATCTTTATCATTCCTGTGATGTTGGCTTGACTTACAGGTCAAGTAAATCAATTGTATGTGGAGTAATCAGTTCTTGATGACTCCCAAGGATGGATGGAGGTATAGATTTATATATATAGATACACACACAGTGTGTATTGCTGGGCTTTGAGGTCTAACTTTAACAAGCAGGGTATCCACAGTCAGAAAGCAGGGCAGGCTGCACACATGAGGAAATCTTAAGCCCAAGTCATAGTGCAGAGAAGGAGGTTTATTGGTGGGTGAAAAGAGCAGTGGAGAAGATTTTATGGAAATAGAAGCGGGGGGGGGGGGGAAATCCTACTCTATTTGCCAATCACATACCTGCCTAATCATCTAATCCTCAACCGAGGGTTTCGAAGTAACGTGCCTTGCCTTAGGCACAAAAGTAACAATTTACAGGAAAATGCAACATTTAGCTGGCCAGCAGTCACACAGTTGGAGGAGCCTGAACAGTGTTGCCACAAATTACAGCATTCCCAGAGCACTGCTCCGCTGTCAGTGTGACTAATTTGCTAGAAATGGCTAGAGGAACATTCCTTGGAGAGCCACAAAAATAGATGCAGCAGAGCTCCGAGCCTGCTCTGGGAGCTGGAGCTGCTCGGTGAAACGCGCCTGGCAGCGCGGGGATCCAGCGTCCCCGGCTGGCCCGGGCAGCGCTCCTTCCCTCTCACGGGCTCCGGGACACGCTGCAGCTCCTGTGCCGGCAGGCGAAGGCTTCCCCCGGGGTCCGTGAGAGCAAACCCCGCCGGGATCGCCCGCGGGGCCCCTCCCGCGCCCTGCCCCGGCCTCACCTGCCCGGGGCTGCTCCGCTCCGCTCCCCGCCGCCGGCTTCTTCCCCAGCACCGAGCCTGCCAAGAGCCAAGAGAGGCGCTGAGCCCTCGGGCCGCCCCGGCCCCGCCGCCCCGGCCCGCCCGCCCCACCTTTGAACAGCTCCACGTGCTTGAACTCGAAGGGGATGTTGTTGCTCCGGGCGAAGATGTAGATGGAGCGGCAGGGCTGCGAGAGCAGGTCCAGGTACAGCTCCAGCCCCATCCCGACCCTGCGGGGAGCTGCCGCGGCTCTGCCTGGGCCGGCGGGGGCCGAGCCGCGCCGGGCGGGAGCTGCCCTCCGTCCGTCCCTCCGTCCGTCCGTCCCTCCCTCCTTCCCTCCCCCGGCCGAGCGGGGCGGGGGCACAGGCAGCGGGGTCTGTGCCCGGGGGCACCGCGGGACGCCGCTCTCCTCCGGGCACAGCACTGGAGAGTGCCCCAGGAGAGCCCACCCGGCCGGGCAGGGGCAGGGAGGCACGGCCGGAGCCGGGGCAGGGTCACAGAGTTCCCTTCCCACAGCGCCAGGCGGCCCTGGCCCGCTGCGGCTGCCGCCCTGTTCATTCATTTCCCTTCAGGGAACGCCAGTAGTGACACGAGTAGCGGTCAATTGCCACCCTCAAAGGTTGGCACTCAGCAGTAAGGGAGAAGGGGCTGTCACTCCCCTCCACAGCTTGGCTGGCACTGCAGGGGCTCGGGAGCTGCGCTCACCCACAGCACCCCACTACGACTTTCACAAGGCAAACGCTGAGTTTTGTAACACACTTTGCAGGGCTGTGCCACGCTGCAGACAGGGCCTTTGCACAATGTCCTCTAAGGCAGTGTTAATCACGCACCGCCAGGGCTCAGTAGGGCTTTGTGTTCAGAACATAATTCTTTGGTCACATAGGCTCTGCTGCAAGGTGACATCTGAGTGGCAGTGAGGTGTGGAGGACTTCTGTGTGGAGATTACATCTGCACACTCACTCAAAGTGACTTTCCTCTCCCTGGTATTTGTCACTTGCGCTGAGTTTCACAGCTGTGTGATTCGGGAAGGTGACTGCTGCCGAGCACAGGGACTTGTGGGACCTGTGACACAGAGCAGCTGAAGCACTCAGGGCAAAGTCACCCCCAGTCAAACCCACCTCAGCCGTGCTGACACCTCGCTATCAGTGTGGTGCCAGAGAGCTTGTACAGATCTTTGGGAAGAGCCATGGGAATCTCAGGGAGAGGGAGCTGGAGGATCAGTTGCTCTTTTTCTTGTGAAAAGGCTTGGGTACTGAGCTGGGAGCTTGTGGTCTAGACAAATTACAAACTGGAACATTTCCAGGGGTTTAGAACTTTCAGATTTAGAAGAGCACTGTAAGAATTTTTCAGTTTCTCAGCCAGACCAGGGAGAGGGGCTGTGCACCCCCTTCACCTCCCCTGCAGCTCAGCTCAGCCTCTTGAGCACTGCACCCAGCACTGACAGGCTGGAGACCACGGCTCATGGAGTCTTGTGGCACTGCTTGAGTTCAAACTCCTTCAGTGCAAAGGAACCTGAAATGTAAAGGGACTGGGGAAAAGGAGCATGAAAGTGGCTCTGCACAGGTAATAGTCAGAGAAGTCTTTGTGCTTCAAAGTGCTCCCATGCCCATACTCTGAGAGATCATTGAGAAGAGTGTTGATCTCAGCAGTGTGCAGCAACATTAGCAGCGTGGGTTCACTTTGCTCCTTTATTCATGGTTCAGTTGATCCATTAGTCCTATCTGAACTTCAAAGATCTTTTCATGTGCCTCCTGGAAATGTTCCTTCCTTAAGTTTTTCTCCAATTTGCTGACTGCACTGCACAGCCCACATAACCAAAGAGGTATTTTTATCTGGTTGTGTTATAGGGCATTTGATTGATTATTCCTGGCTCCAGGCTGGTGATTATAGCACCGTATTTTCATTTGACTCAATCACCTCAAAGACCATTTTCCCTGTCCTTATTTTCTCTGCCAGGAAATAGGAACAAGACAGAAAAAAATGCAGTAAGTTTTGCAGTTTAGTTCTTAATAATTTAGAAGTCTGAGGATGTCTTTCTGTTTTTTCAACATTCCTCCTGATTTGTGTGCTACAGCTTCATTTTATTCCAGAAGTCACAGGTTCTCACTTATTTCCAAACAGCCCTGGCAAGAGTTGAGGAAGTTGAATCAAACACGTTCGATTAAGCTGACAGTGGAGGTGTAATCCCTCTCCCTTTTCAGGGTTAAAGGGGAGTAGACACTCGACAGACCTTGTACCAAGGCAAGCAAAACTCTTGCACAACCTGTTGGGTTTTGGGAGGCAGCTGCCCTCCCACCTCTGCTTTCAAGCTAGGAACTGGAACCAGGTTCTCACTTATTTCCAAACAGCCCTGGCAAGAGTTGAGGAAGTTGAATCAAACACGTTCGATTAAGCTGACAGTGGAGGTGTAATCCCTCTCCCTTTTCAGGGTTAGAGGGGAGTAGACACTCGACAGACCTTGTACCAAGGCAAGCAAAACTCTTGCACAACCTGTTGGGTTTTGGGAGGCAGTTCCCAGGGCTTTCAATCTAGGAACTGGAACTAGACAAGATCCAATGACACAAAGGAACAAAATACAGAGGTGGAGGGATAGCAGAAGGCAAAGTACAAGGATGAGCAGCCTTATCTCCATGATTTAGAGCAAAAAACAAGGCAGATTTATCTGTTTTATAACTCTGTGGCCATCCAAGGAGTTACTCTAGGGAGGTGCTTTGTCCTGTGGGAATGGAAGGGCTCAAAATGCCGCTGGTCACTGCACAAACACCAGGCAGAAACTGTGGGGAAAACAACTTAAAATCCCTTCCTGTCATCATGAGCAGCCTGGAGTGAGGCAAGTGTATTTATCCTTTGTGAAACAGCAGTGGAGGAGCACCAGAGAGCCAGCTCTGAACATAGCTCCAGCTTGGTTTTGAAGCCAGCTGTCCTTGCAGGAGTGCACAATGGGTGACAATTTAAGGAACTTGTGCCTCATTCTGACAAGCAGAAAATTGGCTCAAGACTCTTAGGTGGAGCTTTTGTACTACAAGTATAGCAAATAAAAAAGTTTTAAAAAGACACTTGATTTGCCTTGGCTTGTGAAATGGTTTGCATGCAGAGCAGCCCTGTGTGGAGAGTCTGCAGGGACACGTGTGTCACAGAAGGCTTTGCTCTTAAGTCCATTTTGAGATCTGTCAAGATTAGGGGTGCTAAAAGACTCTTGGTTTTGATTGTTTCTCTGCTCTGCCTATACTTGAACAGAAAGTGTGGGAAATGTTTGTGATGCTGGTGGAAGTTTGCTCTCTCCAAGAAAGGGAGAAGTTGAAAGTCAGGGTACAAAAGTGCAGGGAGGCTGGGCAGCCTGGGCAAGGCAGCAAAGGCACCTCTTGAATTGAGGGGTGCAGAGCAGCCCAGCTGGGGAGTGTGGTAAGGCTGCAGTTAGAGGAAGGAAGTGGTACAACATAAACACCTCCTGGGGCTCAGCACTCTGGCAGCTGCAGCAGGGAGGCTGTCAGGCACTGCTGCTCAGGCTCCAGCCATGCAAGCACTCCTAGGGCCAGGACAGAGCTGCTGTCCCTGGCTTTGCTGGCTGGCATGCAACAGGCCCTTCTCAACAAATTCACCAATAAAACCAAATCAGGTAAGAAGAAAAATATCCCTGCATGTGTCAGCACGAGAGGGAGAGAGTTTGAGGGCAAATGTGCCTTTTCATCACTGATACTGAGGATTTCCTGCAGGTTGGAAAGATGGAAAGTAAAGGCACCAGCCTGCTGGGCTCCTGTAGCTCAGCCTGCAGGCATGTGCAATGCAGACTGTGGTTTGTGTGGCCCTTTGAACTAAAGGGCAGGTTTACTCAGAAAACAAACAGAAAAGCCAGCTGGCTCATTCCCCAAAAACAGTTGATCCAACAGAAAAAAATGTGTGAGACTTTGAGCAGCTACATTCACCATTTCTGGGCACTGCAGTAACTTGACTTACATTCAGACAACTGACACCTCACACCCAGCACAGTGTGCAGCCTTCCAAGTGGATGGTGTAACCAGCAGCACAGACAAACAGACTTCCAGGTACAAACACAGCTTAACAAGGAGGGGAGGAAAACAATTCTGCAAACTGGAGCCCTCCTCGTGGAGGCCTGCACCTGGAAATGGGAGGTCACAGGGACAGGAGAGCAGGAAAGCAGGAATAGCACAAAGGGACCCAGGCTATGCTGTGGAGGGTGCTGCAGAGCTGTGGATGATGACATGATGTCCACTTCCCTCCAGATCCCGATTACAAATCCAAACAGAGCTACAACGCCTGGCAAATGCAGCCCCTGGCTTTATGGAGGCTCTGAGGAGGCTGAGGAGCAGTGGAGCATTAACCACGTGTGGGGCACTCCCCAGCTCGTGTACCAAGCTCTGTGCTCACGCGGGGCTGGCCAGCACAGCTCCCTGTGCCACCAGTGCCAGCCCAGCCCCAGCAGCACCCCGTGCCAGCAGCCTGCACACAATGGTTTCTGCTGTGCTGGCAAACCACTCTGGGACAGGGACACAGCATGATGGGGCTTGCAGAGGGAACCGTGTGGTCTGCAGCAGCTTGGACAAGAAAAGCAGCTTTTTTCCACTGTGCAGGCTGTTCTTTGAAGAATGTAGCACGAACCTTTGGGCGAGGAGCTTTACTGACTCTGTCCCTGCCAGAAGCTGGAGGCATCCCTTGGGCAGCAGCACGGCTCCCTGCTCCTGGGCTGGGTCCCGCTGCTCTCACAGGAGATGCAGCAGCATCTAGCGGCCAGGTGCTCCAAGGGCCCTGGCAGGGCTCCCACCGCGGCTGGGTCCCGACCTGTCCCTTTCCTAAAGAGCAAAATATCTTCCAGCAGGCTGTTTCCACTTGGCAAAGCGAAAACCATCTGCTACAATGTTTTTTCCTTGTTTCAGACGCACCTGTTCTGCCTCAGGAAACCTTTGCTCTGGCCTGGAAAACTCAGAGCTGAGGTGGGAGGGCAGCTCTGACTGCCCCTGCTCCCAACAGAGTGAATCACCTCAGCTCTGAAACAGATCCAGTGGTGCTGGAGCAAGAAAGGAAATCCTTACAGGGCTACACTTCCCATGCTGCAGTGGACAAGAGGGAAAAGCTGCTCATGGCAATCTAAGACGTATTTTTCTTCCCTTCTGAGCTGCAGAATGAAGGGAATGAAGGGAAGTGCATTTTGTGAAATGGTATTTACGATTTTTAGAAGAAACATTGAAAGACTACAATAAGCCTTCAGAAAAATAATCCATTTTATTAGAGCATAGCCCTCTAATTCATCTTTAGGAGCAGCTGCTTGAAATTCTCAATCAGCTCAGGTGCGAGCTGATCAGCAGTCAAGTTCTTCACGTTCATGATGTCCTGGTGGGCTTCCTGGAAGAGCTGCTTCCCCACGGCTTCTTCCACGCGCCTGCGCCACTCCGCCAGCTTGGGCCTCTCCTCAAACAGGTCATAGCCAGCACACACGGGCTGCAGAGACACACCCAGAGTCAGGCAAACAGGGCATTAGCCAGGGATGGACCCAGTGAAAATGCTTCTGGCTCAAGGCAGCAGACAGCCATGGTGTTGGGTGGAGCTCATTTCTGGCTCTTAGGTCATAGGAGGCAAGTGGTGACACCCCCAGCAGCTGCTGTCCCTTGGGATGTGCAGCAAAGAGCTCTGCCATGGCCAACCCCTGAATGATCCAATGCAGAACATGGAAGTCCATGCACACCAACACAGATCTTCCAAATATTTGGCTGCCTAGCTTGTAATTTATCTTTCTTTCCTGATGAATTCTGTCCATATTTCTATAGAAAGAACTATTTCATCAAAGTAGGTTTTCCCCAGTAAAATTAATTGTGATCAAAGTCAAAGAGGAGCAAGATTTAACCCCAGGGAAGATCTGCCATTACAGAGGTGGGGGTGCAGCCCCCCTGGCCTGGCCTGCCCACAGCCCCACTCCCAGATCCAGCAGTGCTGGGGTTGATGCTCACCTGCATGAGCTCCACCAGTGCCACCAGGTCTGCCAGGGAGACCTCGCTGCCTGCGATGAAGGGCTTGCCCTGCAGGAACTTCTCCTCAAACTGCTTCAGGGCAGCGTTCAGGTCCTCAGTGATAAACTCCAGTTTCTCTGGAGGAAGTGGGTGGCCTGTGATGAGAGGCACAAACACCTGGCAGGGAGAAGAAACAACTTGCTTTTTATGTGCTTCCTTCCAAATCTACTCATCACACTCTCACTGCCACCTTCTGAGGATCCCTCACCAGCCATGCATGAGAACAGCCAGAGCTGTTCATCAGCCTTGCCAGGTTAATATTAATGTCAGTCATTACTTCAGTCATTACTTCCAGCCTCTCCTTGTCTGCTGCCTAGAACCCTGAAAATTCAACCACAAGAGTCTCCACTCAAAGTGATGTCTTGTGAAGCCTGAACTAGAACAGAGGCTGGACAGAGTTAAAGAATAAAGCAGGGATTTATTAAAAGGCCTCAATGAATATACCTTGGGCAGCACAAGAGCCCAGCCAGGGCTGCACCCCAGGTGAACCCAAAATGGTCACAAAATCCCCTACCCCTCACGGGGTCTCTCACTTTGATCAGTTCTGCTCCATTTGCATATTGGAGTTAATTGTCCAATTACAGCTGCAGCCCCTGCAGTCCCATCCTTCTCGTTTTTCTCTCTTCAGCCCATGTTGTTTGTGCTCTTGGGGCTGAGATTTGGATCATTTGTCCTTGGTCCCCAGCTGGAGCAGGAATTGTTTTGTCTCCCTGCTCTGTGCAGATCTCACCATCCCTAATATGAAGCCCAGACCCACACACTAAAGCAGCACAGAATGTGAAAATAGAAAAGCTATAAACCCGAGGCATCAAAGGGAAGACTGTACCATCTGCCAGCACCTGCATTTTGTTTTGCAGAGGGAGATTGTTTCCTCCATGCAGCCAGCACTGAGCTGTGTCTGGGGGAGCTGCTCCCCCAGCATGTGCCTGCTCTGGACCTTTGCAGCAGCAGGGACCCAGACTACTCCAGTGAGGCTCACTTCAGCAGCCAAGTCAGTTTTGTTGCTATCTCTCACTTGGCTTGTACATTTGCTGAGAAAGGCCCTGCAGACAGGCAGGCCATTTCACCTACAGTTCTTAGCACCTCATTTTTCATATATAATGGTTTTACCTTGCTTAAGAAGAGCTTGCTCCCCTTTGCACGGATGTTGACATGCTGCCAGGACAGGTACTCATCAACCCTTGCCCTTTTCTGCAGGTCGGAGGGGTACCAGTGATCAGGAGTCTTGAACTTCTGCACCAGGTACAGGAGGATTGCAATGCTGCCCAGAGAGCAAGACAGACTGGTGAGCTGATCATCTGAGATTCAAGCACCTCATCCTTTGTTTTCTCCCAAAATTTTTCACTGCTGGACAAGCAGCCACACAAACCCGGGGAGTCAGGTAGAAGGCAGGGCACAGCACAGACAAGAGAGAGTTTGTGCTGCTGCTGCCTGTGGACCACAATCTAATACAAGTAATTGCCCAGCAGGACAGGAGTGGTCTGCTGGTACAGTTTTGAGCAAACAGAAGCTGCAGAATGAGCTTATACCAAATCTGAGCTTCACGCTGCCTGCCCACCCAGCAGTGGTTGCTTTGTGTCACATTTCCTGCACTGGCCCACAGCCCCCAGCTGCAGGCAGAGACAGGACACCTGGACAGCTATTTAAGCTCAGAAACACTGCCCACAAAGCAGCAAAGCAGCTCCAAGCACAGCTTTTTCTACTATTAATGCTGTTCAAGTTGCTTACGTAAGAACTTCTCTTGAAACACAGGTTTGTTATGTGCAAGTGGAACACAGAACAGGAGGGAGACAAGAACCTGCCTGGACTGGAGTGCCAGCAGTTCAACACTGGGACAAACAACTCTGCAGCAGGGGGTTGAGCTTATTTGAGCCTCACCTCTCTGCTAAGGTGAAAGAACCATCCTTCAGAGCAGGCACCTTCATCAGCACATTCACCTTCCGGAACTCCTCTGTCTTGTGCTCCCCTGAGGAGGAAAATGAGGAGTTTTACTTGGCAGGGGTACTCAGGACCTGCTTGTAAACACCTGAGGAGTTTTTGGGGACTGTCTAGCTTGAAGTTCTTGGTTTTGAGTGTACAGATCAAGTCTTGTATCAAGTTTATAAGCAATGAATAAGTGCTGCAGGGTGAGCAGGGGCCAGCCCTGTGGTATCAGCTGATTATTGCCTGCATACCAGACCCACCTATGGACCAAGGGCAGGATGGTTGGGAGTCCTTTCATACCAACAGCACTTGACAGCTGGGGGCTCTATCCACCCCACACTTGTGCCTGGAGCTACCTGTCCTGTACAAACCCAGGGGAGCACCAAGCACCTTGGAGGAAAGGGATCTCACTAACCCTTTCCCCCAAGGAAGGGAGGACACTGAGAAAGCAGACACCTTTTTCTGGAAGATAATGTAATTTATATTCAACTACACTTTCTAAAGTCCACAGATGAACATAAATTCCTGTGATTCCATGTAGAACCATGGGTACTTCTTTACAGATCTTTCAATTAGCTCCTGTGCATCTTGCAATCTTTTGTAAGAGCAAATATGGATGTGAGGTTACTTTTAAGCTACCTTGTAGGTCCTCCCCGTAGAACCATGGGTACTTCTTTACAGATCTTTCAATTAGCTCCTGTGCATCCTGCAATCTTTTCTAAGAGCAAATATGATTTTAGGTCGCTTTTAAGCTACCTTGTAGGTCCTCCCGAAAAGGTAGGCAGAGTGAACCTGACAGGAGAAGGTGCTGTGTTCATCTAAGGTCTCAGTGTACTCCATTCTGCCTGAAAGCAGTCCCAGAAGCCTTGTTCTATGTGACTGGTTTGTGACAGCCTTTTCCACCCGCTCAGTTCAGCCACATGTGGCTGCCTGGAAGCCTCTCTAATGTGTAAATAACCTTGAGCCCCATCCTGCTGTGTGAGCCATCTGAGAACCTGTGTGCCAGAGGAGATGCTCTGGGAACAAAATTAGCTTTTCTGTACTTGGCAAACTTGATTTGTGACTATTCCCCTGTCATTGGCTCACAGCCCACCTCCCCTACCCCTCTCAGAAAGATGAAGTGTGCAGACTCCAGGTCTTCAGCTGTCCTTTGAATGCCAGGTGATCCCCACCCATTCTCACTTCTACCCCTTTCATTGACACCTGCCACACTGGGGGCTGAGAGCTTTTCTGGGACATCCCATTTAAGCCACCAGCTCAGTTGTGAGTCTGTTCCCTCACCTTGTCCTTACAAACTGTGCAGTGTCAGGTGCCAGTGCAGTGAGCCTCCCCCACTGTGGCAGCACCTGCAGAGCTTCCCCATGGCATGGGAGCTGCACCCAAATCACCCATCTTAAATTCACAGGCCAAAAGCAGATTCCCAAGGGGCACAGAGCATTGGGAATCTGTGATTTAATTCCCTTTCCTTCCTCTCTCTCCTCCTATCCTTGCATTTCAGTTGTTCCTTTTTCTTTGGTGCTCTCATTCCTTGACAGTCTCCTCTCCTTTGCTCCAGTGTCTCACCACAACAATTAATTTATTGGGAAAGAAGGGGAAGGACACAAGATGGGCCAGCCCCCAGCTACAAACAGTTGCAAAAATTTTTGCTATGAGACAAGTGGGAGTAAAGCCACAGCAAGGTACAACCAACCCACAGCTCAGGTGCAGGGGAACACCCAAAGACTCAAGCACAACACGTCTGAGGTTTCTTTCAAGTTGGAGTCTCTTTTGTTCCTTCCTCAATTTCAGCTCCAGGAGCCTTCTCATCTTTCATTGTTTTTAAACATTACTTACTGAGGCCTTTTTATGCCCAATGCATTACCTTAATTTCAAATCCATCAGATATCTGAAGAGCTTGAAGGATAGGCTTTACCAGCTTCAATTACAAAGAAAGAAGATACAGATCTTTGGATCTCCTTTGGTGAAAAGACACCTTTGGACGGGCTCCTAACAGTTATCAGTTGGTTTTAACCCAACTAAACCCCCTCCCTTCATTTCTCACTGCTCACATTACTGCCAGCTGCACTGTCTCGCTCCACAGCCTTCTCAAGCTGGTCCTCGACCCCCAAAATAACCAGACTACAAACTACCCGAGCCAGTGGAGCCCCCAGAGGGGAGCCCTACCCCTGCCCTGCCCTGCCTTCACACGGGGACAGCTCAGCAAGCTGGTGCATGACGAGCCTCCCAAGGGGAGTAACCCCTGCCAAGAGGAGAAAGGCTGCTCTCAGCTTCCCAGAGCACACATTTTTCTGAGTTGAATTCCTGAACAAGACCCACACACCTCGGCTGTCCTCGCCCCTACACCAATGTCCCACCTCTGCAGCTTTTTGTTTCCCATCTAAACGGGGAATGCCCCAGATCTGGCACATCCTGAGCGCTTCTCAGAAAAGCCTCTCTGTTTTTCAGAGACCCATTTTCTGCTGGGTGGGGCCGATTTCGAAGCTATCACATGCCTTGGCAGAGTCCTGCTTGCTGCAGAGGAGCACAGGCACTGAAATCAGTACTGCAACTACAGGATTGCACTGCAGAATTAGGTATTGGTTTTGGGTGGGCACCAGGGACCCTCTGCAGCAGGAGGGCCACGCCACCCTCCCTCAGCACCTCACACTGATGGGAACGGTGAGCAACCCCGCGCTTCCACCCGCGGGCTGGAATCCAGCAGCCCCCGGGGGTGGAGAAAGAGCTGGGGAGCAGCGGGACACGCGCAGAGCTGGGGCTGGGACCCTGGGACACCTGCAGAGCTGGGATTGGGACCCTGGGACACCCACAGAACCGGGACTGGGACCCTGGGACACCCCAAGGACCAGGGCTGGGACCCTGGGACACCCACAAAGCTGGGACTGGGACCCTGGGACACCCCAAAGCCTGGGCTGGGACCCTGGGACACCCGCAGAGCCTGGGCTGGGACTCTGGGACACCCCAAGACCCGGGGCTGGGATCCTGGGACACCTGTAGAGCTGGGGCTGGGACTCTGGGACACCCCAAGGACCAGGGCTGGGACCCTGGGACACCCCAAGGTCCAGGGCTGGAACCCTGGGACACCCCAAGGTCCAGGGCTGGAACCCTGGGACACCCCAAGGTCCAGGGCTGGAACCCTGGGACACCCCAAGGACCAGGACTGGGACCCTGGGACACCCCAAGGACCAGGGCTGGGACCCCTGGGACACTCACAAAGCCGGGGCTGGGACCCTGGGACACCCCAAAGCCTGGGCTGGGACTCTGGGACACCTGTAGAGCTGGGGCTGGGACACCCCAAAGCCCGAGCTGGAACCCTGGGACACCCCAAAGCCTGGGCTGGGACCCTGGGACACCCGCAGAGCCTGGGCTGGGACTCTGGGACACCCCAAGACCCGGGGCTGGGATCCTGGGACACCTGTAGAGCTGGGGCTGGGACTCTGGGACACCCCAAGGACCAGGGCTGGGACCCTGGGACACCCCAAGGTCCAGGGCTGGAACCCTGGGACACCCCAAGGTCCAGGGCTGGAACCCTGGGACACCCCAAGGACCAGGACTGGGACCCTGGGACACCCCAAGGACCAGGGCTGGGACCCCTGGGACACTCACAAAGCCGGGGCTGGGACCCTGGGACACCCCAAGGACCAGGACTGGAACCCTGGGACACCCCAAAGCCAGGGCTGGGACCCTGGGTCACCCCAAGGACCAGGGCTGGGACTCTGGGACACCTGTAGAGCTGGGGCTGGGACACCCCAAAGCCAGGGCTGGGACCCTGGGACACCCCAAAGCCAGGGCTGGGACTCTGGGACACCCCAAGGCTCGGGGCTGGGACACCCCGGCACACCCCGGGTCACCCGGCTGCCACCCCCGGCCCCGCTCACCCTTGGCCAGCTGCAGCCGCTTGAACTCGAAGGGGATGTTGTTGCTGCGGGCGAAGATGTAGAGCGCCCGGCAGGGCTGCGAGAGCAGGTCCAGGTACAGCTCCAGCCCCATCCTGCCGCTGTCGCTGCCGCTGTCGCTGCCGGCCCGGCCGGGGCTGATAAAGCCGCCCCGGTCCCGCCGACACCGGGCCCGCCCCGGCCGGGGCGGGGCGGCAGAGCCGGCTCCGGTGCCCGGCGAGCCTCACCCCGGGCACGGCACCCGGGGCAAAGTCTCGCTGGGCTCTGCCACCTCACCCCGGCCGCACACGGGCTTGTGCCGGTGACTGCCCGCAGCGACACAGAAACCACAGCCCGGCTGGGGGATGTGAGGCAGGTCCTGCTTGTGCCCCTGGGAGCTCTCAGCTCTTGCACAAGATTTTCCATTCCTGTGACTCTCCAGCTGCCCAGACACCCGTGCTGTGGAAAAACAGCTGCAGAGCGAGCACTCACAGCAGGAGAACACACACTGCTTCACTGCTGTGGAACAACCTCGTGCTCCTGTCTTCAACCACCATTCCCAAACCCCCTTTCTTCAAGATTCCCAGCTTTCAATAATTTACTGCTAATGCTGGTGTACATTTATTTAGCTTTGCAAAACAATAAGCAGAGCTGGAGCCATTCCTGCTGAAGGAAAAGCAACCCTGGGAGAGTAGTTGCAGGCCACAGCTACCTGGCAGCTCTAAGCCTTCTGCCAGGCCAGCTAAAAATACCATGGCATGTGTCAAATACAGACTTAGGGCTTGCAGTGACACCAGCTGGCTCCAGGACATTCATATTAGACATCAGACATTTCAGTCTGCATTAACATCAATCTACACTTAATAATACCTGCTGTTACCTTTGGTACAGAACATTGGAGGGAAACAACATAGGCAAGAAAAGGACAAGGTACAGGACTGTAAGAGTGAAAAGTCCTTTAAGCAATATCTCCATCCCTCATAAAATACTGTGAGTTGGAAGGGACCCAGAAAGATCATAAAATCCAATTCCTGAGCCCAGAAATCTTTATTCAACAGAGTTTTAAAAATATATACAATATTTATTTAATATTTACTTAGAAGTTGGAGTCACTGCGCATAGAGCAGCTCTTCAAACACATTTCTGCTCAGGCACTGCACAGGTGTTTATGCATCTGCAGACAGACAGAACCATTGTCCCAGGGCAGCAGGGAGGGCCCAGCCCTCACCACTGGAGAGCAGCAGCTCCATCAGGCCACACTCAAGAGCAATTCTACACGTGCCAGCAGGATACAATGCAAAGTCCTCTTCAAGACAACCTGTATCTCAACATTTATCTTTTTTTTTTTTAAAACCAGTAACTGAACCCTGTTCACAGCGTCCTTGAAAGAGGAATAAGGCCTGCAATAGCTGACAGCAGATATGATAAGGCTGAGGAACCAAGCACTGAGGGCCCATGACTCAATGTTGCTGTGCTCCAGCCACATCAGCCATCTCAGCTTCCACTCGCTCAGGCTCGCTTCTGGGCTCGCTCGTTCTGTTCAAAATCAAAGTTGAGAAGGTGATTGGAGATGCCCCCTGATGTCCCACAGCAGGGACTTCATGCTTCCACTCGCTCAGGCTCGCTTCTGGGCTCGCTCGTTCTGTTCAAAATCAAAGTTGAGAAGGTGATTGGAGATGCCCCTGTCCCAGAGTCACACAGCAGGGACTTCAGGGAGGAACAGGACAATTTAATAAACCTTTCTGTCCCAGCTCTCAAACATTCCTAGTCTACAACTCAAAATGATCATTTTTTCAGGGCCAGGTATTTATGAGTTCTCAGGTTAAAGAGCAGAACACTTGCCCAAATCATGCAGCACAAAGTCTATTAAGGATTCCTAGTCCACCCATCTGGCAAGGTAAATGCTACCCTGCTTTTGTCTCAAAGTTCTCAACTTCACACTGGTGTAAAAAAGGGCCTGCACATAGCTGTGCATTAGTCTTATACTCTGTAATGACAAAAGGTTTAATCCTGCATTTTGCTTGCAGTCCTCTGGGTAGCTGTCAAAATCCCAGCTACAGAGGTAAAGAGAAGGTCAGAATAGAAAAACCCACCAAAAATCAGATTTGTTTTGGTTGAAAAAGGCCATTAAGACCATTGAATCCAAGCATTTACCTGACACTGCCAAACCCATCACTAAATCACATCCCCAAGTGCCACATCTGCACATCTTTTAAACCCCTCCAAGAATGCTGCCTAACTTTGACAGAAAACCTTTCTCCCCTCCCCACCCTTTCTGAGTATTCCATAACAATGCACCCACCAATGCTGAATTGGTACTATTTTAGGTGAAGGAAAGGATCCTGGACTCTAACACTTGTGCTAAGCACAAATTGCATTAAAAAAAATCAAACTATCAAACTGCAACTTGCACAGTTTATTTTCTTCCCCATTTCAATTACCTTGACTGTTTTCTCAAGCTTAGAGAGAGCTTCCTCATACTGCTGCACCATTGGCTTCAATGAGTTGCCCTTCACTGGGTGTTTCTTTATATCCTGGATGCCAGCATCCCTCAGCATCCTCAGGAACCGCCTCTCCTGCAAAAACAGCCACTGGAGATGAGACACCCCCCTGCCCATCAGCTACAAAACCAGCACATTTGGGAACATGCTGCTTAGTCAGGAAACAACTGAAGTTTCCAAGCACAAAGCTCAGCTGACTGCAAAAGGTGGGAAGCTGTATGAACTGGATGATCCTTATGCCCCTGCATGCATCCTTATCAAATGAATCCCACAACAGACATACCTGAATTCTAAGGACCAAGCTGAAAGCAACACCTGCTTCTCCTGCACGAGCTGTTCTTCCAACCCTGAAAACAGAGAAAGTAGCTTCAAGTCAGTTTAGCCCCATAGTCACTGCCATTATCAGCTCCAAGATTCTGATGCTGAGATTCTCCACTTTTAAGAAAGTCTGATTCCAAGCAATGCTAGGCTTAATTTTTGCTAGAAAGCTGTTTGCATATTAAAGTAAAAAGAAAAGCTAAAAGCCCTTTTAAGTGCATGTCACCTTTGCTAAATTCTTCAAAACAAACCAAGCTCAGACATCCTCCTCTTGCTGCTGTTGTCTTACCGGTGAATGTAGGTCCTGATGAACTGAGGTGCATCATAGTTTATCACATAATTCACTCCTTTAACATCAATCCCTCGGGCTGTGGCATCTGTGCTGATTAACCTGTTTGTAAATGGATACATACTCATTTTCAGGTGACATCTCAGGCACTACACACACAACTAAACCACCAGTGAACACAGCACAACTCCTGCTATCTCTGTTCAAAGTGGACAGTCAGCCTCTGCCTCTAAGGCTGGCAGCAGCACTGCAAGTCTCTCCTTACTGCCACTGGCCTTGTCAGCTGCCCACACACCTCCAAGCACCACTACAGGCTTGTCACCCTCTGCTGAGCATGAAAAGTTACTGGGTGTTTCCAGGTTCTCCAAGCATGTCAGACACCTCCCAGCTCACACTAATCTTCTAAGGAATCTGAACATTCCATACAAGCACAGAGCACACAAATAGCGAGGTGAGAAATTCCAGTAGTCAAGCATGAATTTATATGCCAGGTTTGGATAAAGAGAACACCCAGAAAATAAGTTTTTACCTTTTCCTCAGAGATATAATCTCTGATATATCTCATATAGCTACCAAAACCACAATGCAAATCACACACATGGGCAGAAGTAGACCTGTATGCCAGTCTGAGCAGGGATTGCTTTGGTAGCAAGCTGTAACACTAAATACAGCTTCAGTACCAACATCCATTTCCACCCTACAAGTACAGATACTCAGCACAAACATTAAACTCCAAATTTACAAACCTGTGTGTTTTGGGCAACTCTATGAACACGCATTTGTATTTATTGCTTGTTATAAAACAACGTGTAGAAATCAGACTGGAGCTAGATTAGAACAGGCTGAGTTACATGAAGGATAAACAATTCAAAGCCACAAGCCCAAGTCTCACATCCCTCCTGCAACAGACTCCTGCATGTTTTACAAGACCCCAAGTAACTGTGTCCCTTGCTCTGTTTAGCTTTTCACACTGCAAACAGCCTGTGCTGGAAAACATACAGGAAACTAGTTTAAGATGCTCACAGTTGTATTTTTCCTTGATCAAACTCCTTCATGGTTCTCCTTCTCTCATTTGGAGTTAACCGAGAAGAAAACTCTGCCACTGTGACTCCACCAAAGGCTTGAACCAGCAGGAACAACCTGCAGGTGGACAAGAGAGAAACTGTCACTCCTTTATCTCTGGAAGATCCCCTGACAGAGAGTGATCTCATTCATGCCTACCTGTGAGAGGCTTCCCTGGAGTTGGTGAAGCACAACACGCGGGTGAATTTCATTTTCAGCATGAAATACAAGAGGAGCAAGGGCTTGGAATTCAGGTCACAAGGCACGTAACATTGCTGCAGTCAACAGGGAAGGAGTTCAGAGAGAGGAATCACTTCTTGCCAAGACTACCTCCCCTGAAACCCACTGCCTGTCCATGACCCACACTGGCCTGGATGTTTTATAGCTGACTAATAGCAGCAAAACCAGAGCCCATCCCATCCCCTTCAGAATAAACAGGCTGGCAGGATACAACACAAGTGGAGACAGGAGACCTGCATTGTTCTAATGCTCTCACACCTCCACAGCAAGTAACAGCATGCACTGCCTTCCTGCCTACAGGCTGGCCTGTGTACACGTGTCTTGAAATGACTGTCAGACATGTGGACAATTGATAGGTGCTACTATATTACTATGACTTCCTAGTTCCACTCCCCATTGCAGCTAAACTTAATTCCACATGAAGACAGATTAATTTAAAAAATAATCAAGTCTTAATCAAATGAACATTAAGTAATGAGAAAACAAATGTCCAAAGGCACAGCTCTCTGGGTCATACATACTCCCAAAGGCACTTTTGCAAGGAAACACAGGGAAGACACACTTGTTTTAGGGTAAAACCACAGTTAGTTCAGAATTAAACAAATCTTCATGTGTAACTTATTCAAAAGAATTCACATCATACCGAGAGCCCCTCTGGGAGTGTGTATTTATTATTAGTATTTTGTTCAGCTTCTGCTCCATCTCTGTTTTTCTCAGAATACACAGATGTGAAGAGACGAGGCTGGAATAAATCCAGCTGCTGCAATTTCTCTGGGTCCTGGGTCAGAGTGGCTGAAAACAGCAGTTTCTGTAAGGGTATCTGAGGAGAGCAGGAACTGAAAGAAACAGCACACAGAAACTGGGCTTTGAGGATGGGGCAAAGGAGTTTCGCCCCTAGTGCCTTCACATGATGTAAGGGAAGCAATCAATGCTTT